AAATGCCATGCCATTAAAAAATATAATTTTTTTTTTAACTTACGCAATTAAGACTTTAATTCGAGCATTATGCTGACGCCTCTTTAAATTTATTTTTGCTTTATTTTAAAGACTGCATAAATCGTTCATCCTAATTGTATGCAATTTTTGGTATTTATTCATATATGAGTGAAAGTAATTTTAATAAAGTAATAGGTATACATAGATTCTTTTTCCAAGCAATATTGTGATTTGTTGAAAGGAAAGGTGCTATTTTATAAACAATTAGCTGGACCTAACATTATTATTATATTGTAATATATTATATTTAACTACTATTTTAAATTTTACTATAATTTGACTTAAGACATTTTGTTATAAACTAAATATTCATAACTAAATACGAATGAATGTATGTAAAAAGTATTTCTAAATAAAAAGTATAATATAAATTTCGGTACATGTTAATAAATTTAAATAAAAATATTCAAAATTAGTAAAAAAAAAAACATGAAATATTTGTTTTAATCATAAAAAGGTAAACAAGAAAAATTATTAAAAGAAATCTTGGGTTTTTACTTTTAATTCTCTATTCATAATTATATATACATATATTTTATATTTACTTCAAAAAATTTGAAGAAAAAAAAATTCTAAACATAGAAATTTAATAATTAAATATCGTGATGAAAGATTGAAGGATTATTACTTAAGGACGAAAAAAATTAAAGTATAAAATTACAATTTTTGCCTCGCCCGTATTGCTTTTCAATGAACAAAAAAAAAAAAATTGTTTTTTTTTTGTATCTCTTTCAGCTTACATAAAATCTTGTAAAAGAACTACTTGAGATTTGTTCTTTATTTCTAAAAATAATAAAAAAAAAATGTAAAAGATTCTTGTATTTAAAAGTGAAACTTGAAAAATTCTTTAGAAAATGAATTGGAGCAAATTTTTGCAAATTTTTTTCCTTTTTCTATTTTAAATATCTCATATTTTTAGAGATAAATTGAAGTTTCTACACTTTATAAAAAATAAAGTGCAAATCGATGAGATTTTTTTCTCTAAAGTTCTCTAAAGAGAGAGAGAAAAAAAAATTTTTCTTTTTCACTAATGACCGTTTAAAAATCAACAAGCGTGAACAAAATCGTGAAATATTTAGAGAGAAAATCCACTTCAATGAACTTCAAAAGAGAAGATTTTTTCTTTTTATCTGCTTCTTCTTTTTTGTTTCAAGTAGATCGTTTATAAATATTGAAGTATTGTGAATGATGAGTTTTTTTTTTTGTTTTTGTTTAAAGAAAATTCATATTTTCCATTACCCGGAAATTAAGTATATTGTAAAAATTAAATGATTTATTTTTTTCCTCTTTTCCAATACTAAACACACATATCAGTACTCATGAATCTCTTAAATATTATGTGAGAATAATATAAAAAATATTTTATGTGGTTGTCACATAACCGACATTAATGTGTATTGTGTTACAGAATATTATAAAAATGCCTGTTAAGTATTTCTTTCCAATTTTTAGGACATTAGTAAGCTTTTAGTTAACATACCTAAAAAAATGTAAATTTGACTCATAGTAGAGTTGCGCTTTGTGCTACCCGAATTCCCTGAAATGCTCGCCAGTTAGTTTCGTTAACAACCAGAACTCAAATATAAAATTTCAAGAAATTCAATCAATTCGTTCCGTAGTTATAGTGAAAAATGTAAAATCGGCCCGCAAATCAGTTTTCGAGCCCTGATCTTTCCAAAAAATTTATATGTTCATTGTTTTAGTACAAAGAATTTAAATATTAGTAAAAAAACATTGAAATCGGTTGATTATTTCTCTTTATATATTTCCGTATTTATTTCACTTTATATTGTTTCCGTGCCATGGTCGAAATAAACTTACTCGTACATATAAAATTTCATCAAAATCGGTTCAGTCGAACTTGAGATTTATGCGTGCACACACAGACAGACAGACCGACAGGTTCCTAAAAATAGTTAATTTACACTTCCCTACCATGGAGAAGTGCATTTCCACCGAAAACTTGATATCCGAAAATTGCTGCCATCACATAATCTACCTATTGTATACACAATACGGTCGGTAAAAATCATAGTATATGTCTGAGTATACACTTATTTCATATTGTAAGAGCATTGTGTATATCATGGATTCAAGAACATAGACATAAGCGTTTCAAAATTATTATATATGAACTAAAAATAGAAATTATTAATATTTTCTTTTTTTCAAAATTCAATATCAATATATCAAAAGGAATTAAGCTATATATGTGCGAGTATATAGGTAATAACGATAAAGGTATTCAAAAAATAAATAAATAATTTGCATATTATTTAATATTGTTGTAATGAATAAAAATTTTTGAGTAAAATTTAATTCAGTATACGAGTATAGCTAGGTATATGTTAATTATAAAAAGACTTATATAAATGTAAGTTGTTTTAAATTTTATAGAGTTTAAGTATGTGTATGATAGGATTTTGTACTTATAAAAATATTTATTTAATATTAAACATTTGTAAATTTATTTATTTAATTAATATAATATTAAATTTTCAAGAAATTTTTTTAATAAAATTTAATAAATTCAAGAGATATTTAATTAGAAAATGTTGATAATAATTGAGATATTTAGTAGTTATGCTCTTAGCAAAATTTACCAGGATTCTGGAATCCGGCCGATTTGGATGCTAATTAATATACAAACAGAAACCGTGATATGGGAAATTGAATAGATAAGAATCAATTATAACTTAAGAAAATATTTGGCCCTTAACTATGTATGAGGTTTGGACTTGCACTTGCTTTGTATGTTTGGAAAAATTTTGATACTACTTTTAATTTTGAAAATTTTGTTAATCTTTAAATAGTTAAAAATGGAATACGCACCCCTAGCAGATCTTCAGGGGTCCATGAAGATCTGCTAGGGGTCTACGAAAAAAAAACATGACTTTAATTAAATAAGTTTTTTATTTAACTTCCTCACATCATGTAATTCCCTCACATGGTGTGCCTTGCTACGACATTGGAATACAATTTTCATAGTTTTCCTATAAAAATCTGTGTACGTTATGTATCAAAAATAATTCTAACAAAAACTAACCTTAAATATGTACGTATGGAAAAAAACTTTTTTCTTAAAAGTTTTTGAATTTTAAAAAACTGTTTGCAAAAATCTAGTATTTTTTTTGCCACTAAGCTAAATTTTCAGCAATTAATCTCTGTCCGATTTCAAATTCGAAATGAAAAGTAACTTAAACCTAGCCGGAAATGAGAAAGCTACAAGTGATATGATGTTGCTACACACATTTTGCACAAAAAATCTACCACGTACATAGTTAAAGGTTAAGGGTGAGCAGGAAAAGGAATTTGTGAAAATAAATGACTAAAATAAATAATTTGGTTCCTTCTTCCTTCTGATCTGGTCTGTATTAATGACTTTCAATTTTATTTTAAACTAAATTTTATTTTACATAAGACTTTCACTCCTTGTTTTCTAATTCGATATCTTAAAAACTAGGATTTAATGAAGAATATCAAAAATTCTTTTTAATTTATAAATTGAAGTTATCGTTTATTTTGGAATCTTCATTGTTGTGATTCTTTGATATCTTAGACTTATTAAATATGATTTAATATTACGAGTAGCTCGGTCCTTTATCCTGCCTAATATCTATTACTCTTTGAAAAAATTCTATATGCATAATATAGTATATTGTAATTCAATAATGTTTTTAATCTTAAATATTTATTTTAATAATTTAATATTAAAAAATTTTATTATTACAACAAAATTGACGGAACCAAAGTTCTTCCAGAATTCTTTAAACTATAATCTTTAACAGGAAGTGTTACTATTACTTTGAGTTATCGATCAACTGAAAAATACAAAAAAGTGATGAACAATATTGGCTTATAAAATAATCAGTAAACACTATTAAAACATGAGGGAATTAGAACGATTTGAACAATTCGAAAATATTTGAATAACTTTAAAATTTTCAAGACGATTAACTCTGCGTTCAAATGTTCTCTATGAGAGAACATTTGAAGAACTTGAAAAATTCCAAATAACAAATTTCTTTATTTCATTTTATAAATATTTTAGAGGATATTCTTAGAATCCATTTATACATTTTCTTTAAAATTTTTAAATCAAATATCAAAGAAGAAGATTTTCAATTTTTATCTTTGTTATTTTTAATTTTCAAAGTAAAATATTTTCAGAGAATTGAAAATAAAAATTTGATAAACTTATGAGAAATCATTTTTACATTTTCACTATGTGAATGCACATGGATGGCCATTTATATTTATTCTTTAAAACAGAAAAAAATATGACACATTCATAAATTCATTAGAATTTTTTTTAAGTAAAAACCTAAATATTATGTCATTTTGCTAATGTCCTTTATATACTTTTATACACAAGTATTGCACAACTATATTTTAAGTATATAAAATTTAACAAAGAATTTTTATTTTTGATTTTTCTCTTGCGTTTTGTTATAAATTTCCTCTCTCCAGAATGAACATTTTATGTCCATGTTATTTTGTATTTTTTGAAATATTTTCAAGTACAAGTGTAAAGTGTATGTGTATAGTGGTGCATAGTGTGTTGTATGTGTATATATGGAATTTTATTTAGAAAATAAAATGTTAAGATTAAAGGATTTCTGTTGTTCAGAAATTTGAATTTTATTTTTTTTTTGTTAATATTATTTTCCTTTTTATTTGTTTTTTTTTTGTTTTTTTATTTTTCTTACCTGAAAATGCTTTTTACATCAAATGTATTAAAAGTCAGATTTTCTTATTTGTTTATGGCATAACAGTTTGGTTAGTTGTATATTGTAACACTATAATATTTTACTTTGGAAAGGAACTTTTATTAACCTACATTCATACATGTGTATAAATGCAATATAGTTGAACAAGTATTGAATTATTTCAATATGAGCATACCTGCTACCATAATATAATATAATATTTATGTATATATATATTCAGTAAATAAATAATATTGTTGTGTATATGAAAGTATCCTTAATATGGTATATTATTTAAATGCCTGAATTCAGTTTTATCCTGGAAAATACGTACCAAATATACAATAATAGTATAAGATTTTAATGTACACATACCTGAAAGATAGAACAAAAAGAAAGAATAAAATTAAATGAAAATGTCAAATTATTTAAGGATAATATAAAATAACATGGTTGGAAAGAAAGGCTTTTTTTTTGTTGTTGTGTGGATGTACAAATAACAACAAGAATCAATTAAATATTCTTGTTTTACGTATACATATACATATTAAATTTGTATACAAAATATACAAAAATCTGAGTGTTTTATTTCTGTTTTTTTTACCTCTTGTAAACAAAAATGATAAATCAAATTGGTGAATTGAAATTAAGATTTTATTTGCCTATAAATGATTGACTTATTTTCTATATAATATAAACATGTACATATATTTTTAAATATATATGTGCCTAAAGTGTATTTATATTACTTAATTCAAATATTTTGTTATATAGTGTAAGAATGAATATTAATACAGAATAATTCATGTAATAAAGGAAGTTGGAAGAGGTTGGGCATATAAGTAGTTGTTATTGAAAGCTAATTTTATATTTAGCACGAGTATTAATAGAAGCCTTTTTTCATAATTTTGATAAAATTTTTTGGGAAAAATGTAAAAATTTAACAAAATTTGAATTTGATACTAAAAAATTTTTCCAAACAAGTAGTGTTGCTTCCATAATGATAAGAAATTAATTATCAATTGAATTTTCAAATATCTGCTCTTTTAAGTAATGCCTATGCCAGTCAAGATAAACAGTTCGAACCGAACAGCAGCGTTTAAACATTTTTGAATTAAGATGGTTTTAAATTGTATTGGAAAATATAAGCAAAACCATATTTGGAATTAAAACCAATTTATAAGATTTTTAGGTAGAAAATTTAACAAAATAATGTAGGCACGTACGTATGTAAGAAAAAAATTAGTTTAATTGGAATTTTCATTATTGAATTTTATTTTAATTTTTAGTAAAAAAATTTTTGTTTATGAAAAATGCCTCCCTTATTTTGAGTTTTCCACCCTTTAATCCATTAAAACTTAAATTTAGAAATTTCCAAGACATTTAGAAATTTAGAAATTTCCAAGTTCTATCAAATATTAAAAATATTAAAAATGAATTTCTGACCGAGTACAAGTTTTCAAATTGTTATTACACTTTTGTATTTTAATTGTATAGTAGGTTTTGCTTTTTTGGTTTCGTTTAAATTTTCACTGCACGCTATTCTCTTCGAATTTCTTAAAATTAGAAAAAAATTCTTAGAATATTATAGATTTCAAGTTAATAAAAATTTTTAACATCAATAAATATTTCATTCTCAGTTAGAGTCTAATTTAAGGCGAATTGAATTTTGAGTTATAAAATATTTTCATTAGTAGTAATTTTATACACACTGTGCAAGGACATTCACTTGGCTTGAAATTAAGAATTTTTCCATTAAATGCACATATTATTTAAATTTTTGGTAAGAAAATTTCGCATTCGAGTTTTAAAGAATTCCCATATATATATATAGAATTTAATGTTATACAAGAAGAATAGAAGCTCTTTTTCTTGAATAACATAAAAATTTTTATTCGTTTCTTGTTTTTTTTTTATCATTTTTTCTGAATATTTTTAAAATATCTTATATTTGACATTGACTTTAATTTTTTTTTTAGTCAGCAAACACATGTCGTGATAATATGCATTCTAGATTTTATCCTATTTATACAATACAGAATTTTGACTATGAAATGAAACTATAAAAAGAAATCATTCACGCATTCCATTTAGTTTTTGTTTCTTTTTTGCTTTTATTTTTAACGCCAGCCATATTTTTGCACATAAATAGGCGGAATTCTGTAAAAAACAAATTTTTTTTTGTTCTAAATAAACAGAGCAAGGAAAATTTAAAACTAACAAAATAACTTTCAAACACTTTGAATAGTTAAAAAAAGAAACCCGTTCCAAATTTTTTTTTTATTTATTTAAGATTGCGAGAATGTTAAATGGCATCGTTGTTTTTGAATATGAAAAAAACAGTATAAAAAATTTTAATGGAAAGGGAGTTATTTTTGTATTACATACAAAATGGCTAGAGTGTAAATAGAAATTTGGAACAATTGAGATAAAAGAGGAAAATTTTATATTTTACTTTTAAATTTTTAGTAGATTGTTGCGAAAATTTATGGAGAACTGCTCATTTATTTCTTTAATTTGACTTTTTTTTTGTCTATCTGAGTGTTTATAAACTTTACAGACTTGCATTTTATCTGTACAAATTTATATTTTTTGGTTAAACTATTTTCTAGGGGTTAACAACTTACTTAGCACTAAGTTCATTCTCCGAAACACAACAATTTTACCGTCTCCCTCCTCGTTACGTTAATAGTTTAAAATGCATATTATTATTGGAATGCAGAATTATTAACAGAAATGAAAACTTTAATAAATCAGCTTTATTTATATGATTTTCTTAAACATTTTTTCGTATGTTATGCATCAGCCCCCGAAAGTATGCAAATTTTCAACATTATATTATCAGACAGTTGCTCTGTTCCAAAACAAGATTTTACTTGAGATTAAGACCGTAATTTCTATACATTTTCGATGGACTTCAATTCAACTACAGCAACGTAAAAATTATTTACGATTATACTAACAATTCTTTTCTTTTAAAGTTCATTTCATAGTTTTCGCCTCATTTTATGTTTTTTTTGTTATTAACATTTTATTTTTGTTTTTAATTTATAAGTATACTAATTAGTTGATATCAAAGGACTATTAAAAGATCTTTTTTTTTTTTGAAAGTATTTTTTTATATTCTTTTACGAATTCTTTTGCATTTGTGTACTGTGCGCTTTGCAATGTAATTTTAAATAATTTTTTTTTTTTGGAATGAAAATTTTATTTTCTATATTATTTGTGACTCATTTATTTGGAGTTGTAGAAAAAATATTGACTCTTCAGAGTTTTTAAATAGCAAATTTCTTAATACCATTTTTTCTTGTTTTTCAATACCATACACAATTACGATGGCATTTTTACATACAAGTGTATCTGTACGATCTATGAAGATTTTATACAAAAATAAATAGTTTTTGATAATTGAAATCAGTTTTTATTCAACACAATTTTTAAAATGACTAATATTTCTGTTTTGTGTTGTCTCTAATAATAGAACTATATTTAAATTATCATTAAATGATTTCAGGATAGTACCCTGGTTGTAATTGAAAATTTCCCCAGACAAGATTTTCCATATTTCGAATTATAGTAATAAACAAAAATATGGCCATTTTAAATATGGCCATATTAAATATTTTACTAAATAAAATTCCAATATTTTGCAATAGAACTCTGAAATTCAATTAATTACTCTTAGTAAATGAATTTTTAATATGAGTCGAGTAAAACTAGTGAATATCAATCCGAATTTGAAAAAAAAAATATTTCTTTTAACTTATTAAAATCTTCCCCCACAAAATACAAACAGTGTTTCAGGAAATTCTTAATATCTATCTTAAAAAATATTATTTCCGAATTAAATTTAAAATTTTTTATCTGTCCGCATATAAATGAATTATGATACTTATGATTATTTGTACATTATAATGAAAATAATTAATAATGCATAATATAAAATATAAGCAAAAAATTTTCAATGCATAAAATATAAGCGACCTTGTCTAAGTTATTCATTTTTTCTTCTTTTTTTATCTACATAGCAATAAATTTATGCAAATAACATGAAAAAAAAGCATTAATATTAATTTATATTTAAATATATAAAAAACATAAACTATAAGATGGGTCGCCTCCATATTATGCTCTTTAATATTAATAAAAATAACTAACTATGATGAGTTTTGGGGTAACACAATTTCTTTTAATGTTCATAAGGTATGTAGTTATTTATAATATATAGATGAATGTATATAGAGTCAAGCTCTTTAAAGTAATGCACATTATATAAAATAAATGTAAAAATATTTTACAATTTATACAACAATATAATGAATTTTTAATGGCCAAATCGATGCATCAAAAAAGTTTACTGCTCCAACAAAAATAATTTTCATTTAATAGTTTTTTGGTATTCTTTGTAAATTTTAAAAAGAAAAAAGAGAAACACCTTCAATATTCTTCTTCAATTTTCTTCTTATTTTCTCTATTTTTCTTTCTCAAAAGAAATTTCTATTTTTGTCGACTTGTAATGGAGTGAAAAATGAAATAAATTCGGATCAAGTTAATGGTTTCTAAAATAGCACATTTCCCATTCAAATAATTGAGGAACACAATCTGTTGTCTATTTAAATTACTTTCATTAAGATATTAAAAATTATTGCATACATTTAGGATGAGAAAAATAAACAAAAAAAAAATAATTAATAGATGCGATACCAAAATGGTCATCTATTTTGCTTTCATAGAAATTTCGAAAAGCATGTAGTTTGAGAAATGTAAGGTATCAAAGCGGTAACTTCGAATTAGATGGAAGTGAAAATTTAATTTAATGAAATACATTATTCATTAGTGTCTGAGATGACTGTAAATTTCAACTGCCATTTTTATCATGGTAGAAAATCCAGTAATTACTTGCATACTGGATTATTTTAATTTGCAAAATTTAAAAAATGTTTTCGGTTTCGATACAATAAATTGTCGAAATATTGTATTTTTAAGATTTGAGATGAGGATCTCAAAATTTTAAGGGGCTATTTTGTTTTTTTCTATCAAAATAAGTTTTTAGTAAAAATCTATTTGTATGAAAAGTTAAGCTTTCTATCTTAAGTTTGTTTTCTTAAAGGACTTTCATAAACAGACACACGAACGAATAAACAATCGGAAAATAACAAGCTCTTTCTTCCAAACTTCTTTTCCTTGGAAAAATTCTAAAAAGGCAATAATTTTAATATTACTTCGTAATCAAGAGACAACATTTTACAATATCTATATGTATAGGAAAACAACATGAAATTTAAAAGATGGAAAAAAACTGTAAGGACTAAAAGAAAAGGCTTATAAAAATGTCATTAATCATAAAAGTGCAACAAAATTTATGCTAATTTCTT